GGAGGGTCTCAGGGAAGTCCTGCCTTACCACTTGGCCACCACAGGTGCCCCCAACACAAATGACATCAAGTTGGCCACACTCACCCTTGCCACGCCCACCCAGACCCTCCAAGGTCATTGATGTGGCCCTCAATGAAATCGAGTTTGACACTCCCTGGGATAAGGGAATAAACATGCCACTATATAGTAACAGCCCCTTTTCTCTGGCTGATGCTTGCTAGAAGGGATCAGAAAACAAACAAACAAACAAAAATCATTCTTCAGCGTCTCACCTTCTCCTTTGCCATATTTGGAGCCAGGGAACCAGGAGACAGCTTCCACGTAGCCCAATTGCCTGCAGAACACATTGGCCGAGTGGATGGAGAAATCGTCATCACAAATGGTGCCCCATTGGTTGTTGTAGTAGACCTCTGCCCGCCCTTCGTTGTGCTTCCTCTTGTCTCCTGACAACCGGACCTGAATAGAATGCTCAGTGCTGGGTTGGGGTTGGGAATCTTGTTGATACTGGGCAAGGATCAGGTGGTCCAGGCACACGAAGAAGAAGAAGAAGAAAAGGGTCCAATGGCAGTTTGGGAACTTTGCCATTGAGGATGTGAAGTTCTCTTTGGAGACGAGTCTTTAAGTTCAATCAAAGATCCGAAGGCCGACTGGCCGTTTTGCTGGGAAGAAAGAAATGGAGGAGATACTTGAGAAAAGAGTAGATGCTTAGGAGTATACAGGGGTGGGCTTCAAAAATTTTAGCAACCAGTTCTCTGCTCGATTGCTGGGTGGGCGTGGCCTACTCGGCCACCTACACAATGATGGCGGGCCGTTTTCGCACTCCCCTGACTCCAGAGGCTTTTCTCGAGCCTCCAGTAGGGCGAAAACAGCCTCCCCCGGGCTCTGGAGGTCCTCTGGAGGCCAGGAATGGTTCCAGAACTGGTATTCAGCAGGTTCTGACCAGTTCTGGAGAATCGGTAGTGGAAATTTCGAGTCGTTCAGAGAACCAGCAAATCCCACCTCTGACTGGCTCCACCCCCATCTATTCTCTGCCTCCCATTGAGTCCCAGCTGATTGGCTGGGTCTCCTTTTGTTGCCCTGCCCAGGAGAACGGAGCTGGAAAGCAGGTTAGTGGGGTGGGGAGGGAATGGGATTTTGCAGTAACCTTCCCCTGCCACACCCACAGGACCAGTACTAAAAAAATTTGAATGCCACCACTGCTTTCTGGGTTTATAAAATTAGCCTCCTGGCAGTTTTCTGAGTTTTCAACTTTTCCAAACCCAAGTAGAGAATGATCTGTGTCTGAGATGTGAAGGCTGAGATTCTGGAGTTGGGAACTTGTTGGTTCCTAGTTTTTACAGATAGTCCTTGACTTAAAACCACAACAGCCCAATATGTCTGTCAAGCAACAACCATTAACTGGATTTTGCTCCATTTTACAACCCTCTTTTTTTTTGCCATAACACTTAAGTGAATCATGGTTCCAGAACTGGGAGGCAGAGGTGGGTATTCAGCAGGTTCTGACCAGTTCTGGAGAACCAGTAGTGGAAATTTTGAGTAGTTCAGAAAACCAGCAAATCCCACCTCTGACTGGAGATTTTGCAGTAACCTTCCCCTGCCACGCCCACCAAGCCACGCCCACAGAACCGGTAGTAAAATAATTTGAATCCCACCACTGCCAGGAGGCCCATTTTTCGCCCTCCCCGAGCCTCCACGCGGCCCTGTACTTACCTGGCATCCAAAATGGGCCATGTGGGGACTGGTGGGAGGAGAGGGGTCAGCGGGGTGCGGCCAGCCAAGGGTGGGATTTGTGGGTACACCGAACCGCACAGAATCTTAGCTAGAAGATCACCCGAACCAATGCAAAGGCGTAGCAGCCCACCCCTGGGGGGGGGGCATAGAAACATTCACTTTGGAGATCCAATTCAAAGCGGATTTGATAGAAACCCAAAGGGAGTCCAAACCAAATGGCAGATGAGGTGGATTTGATTGCCCAGATCCAATTGGAGGCTTCCAAACTGATTTGGAGAAGTGTAGCAACATGATTCCTTTTCAATCATAGAATTTAATCCTTAAATGCTGGAAGCTACCCAGAGTCACCCAGATGTGGGTCAGGCAGCTATATAGCAATAGCACTTAGACTTATATATCGGTTTATAGGGCTTTACAGCCCTCTCAAAGCGGTTTACAGAGTCAACCTCTTATCCCCACAATCTGGGTCCTCATTTTACCCACCTCGGAAGGATGGAAGGCTGAGTCAAGCTTGAGCTGGAGGAATCAAACTGCTGGCAGTGGGCAGAGTTAGCCTG